TCAGAATGGTAGACCAGTTGGAGGGCCGGGTGGTGTCAGAATGGTAGACCAGTTGGAGGGCCGGGTGGTGTCAGAATGGTAGACCAGTTGGAGGGTGGTGCACGTCTGGCCTCTGCCTTGGCCGAGTCAGCCTTGGGCTGCTGTTGATTTTCTCTCCCCTCCTGAACCTAGATGAGGTTGGAGGAAGCCCCCCCATGCCCTTTATACAGAGGCAGAGGGTGGGGTTGAGCTGGCATCCGTGCCCCAAAGCTGAGATCCTCCTCCCTACCCTACCTCCCACCATGCCTGGGCATTACCAACAACTACTGTGGAGAGGTTCGACAGGAAATTAGGAGGCAGCGAGCTCATGTTCATGGGGGAGGAACAGTTCGGAAAAGGCGGTGAGAATGGCAGCATGACCGGAAGAATGTCACCCAGGTCACGGAGAGGAACACGTAGAAATGGCTGAATCGGTGTGTGTGTTTGCTGTGTGCATCCTCACAACATCAACAAGAAAAATAAATTTGAAGAAAAATAAAAAAAAAACAAACCCGTGGAGCACAGCTCTCCTCTGATACACATGGGGTTGCGGTGAATTGGAATCAACTCAGGGGTAACTGAGGAGCTCTGGTGGTGCAGTGGTTAAGGCGTCTGGCTGTAACCAAAAGGTCAGTGGATCAAACCCACTAGCCACTCCATGGAAAAAAAGATGAGGCGATCTGCTTCCATAAAGACTCACAGCCTTGGAAACCCAATGGGGCCGCCATGAGTGGAAGCAAGTCAATGGCAATGAGCTTGGTGGTGACTGGCAATAAGGCAGCCGTCCGGAATCTTTCACAAAGCTGAGATTCTAGTCTGGTCTGGGGTTTCCAAAACACCAGAGAGGTTAGGGCCTGCTGAAGGCTCCACGCCTAACAAGTCACCTCTATGCCTGGGCCATAATATCCTAACCCATGATCATCGGTGGATTCTGACTCAAAGAGATCACAGGACAAGAAGAACTGCCCTGTAGGGTTTCTAAGGCTGTAATCTTTATGGAAACAGACTGTCGCATCATTCTCCCATGGAGCAGCTGGTGGGTTAGAACCGCCAACCTTTTGGTTTTTAACTAAGCCTTTAACCACTGTGCCATGAAGGCTCTTTATCCCATTCTACAAATGAAGAAAGTGAAGCTCAAGGGGTTAAAGTGAGTTACCCTGAACAACATTTTGCAATCAGCAAAGTTAGGTGCGCCTGACCTAAGCCATGGTCTTTTCAGTTGCCTCATATGCACTCAAAAGCTGGATAATGAATAAGGAAGACTGAAGACGAACTGAAGCCTCTGAATTATGGCATTGGCAAAGAACATTAAATACGCCACGGACTTCCAGAAGCATGGATACATCTGTCCTGGAAGAAGTACAGCTGGACACTCCTGAGAATCAAGGCTGGTGAGGCTTCGTCTCATGTTCTTTGGACACTATCAGGAGTGACCCGTCCCTGGAGAAGGACTCATGCTGGTAAAGTGGGGGGGCCACGAGAAAGAGGAAGACCCTCAATGGGACGGACCGGCAGTGCCTGCAATGAAGGGCTCAAACACAGCACTGTGGAGGCCCGGGCAGTGTTTATTCTGCTTCATAAAGGGTTGCAATGGGTCTGAACCGACCCAACGGTTCACAACACCACCACCAACAAAAGGCAGGACTATGTTTAGCAGAAGGAAAATACCATTCATCCACCTTGGGAGAGTAGGAGCCGAAATTTGCTTTCCTGCAGGGAATGCATCTCAGACACTACCTACAGGAGCTCAAGTGACATCGAATAGCTTTTAAAAGCTTGTCCTAACAGGTTTGCTGGTCTGATAGAGCCTGGTGGAACCACTGAGACTATGGCCCCTAGCTGCCCTTCAGGTCTGGAATTGAACCCACACCTGTGGCTTC